CCCCCAAAACCCCAAAACCCCAAAACCCCAGAGGCAGTATCCGAGATTGAAACATTATGAGCAAAACTTGTCAATTATGTCTGAGTGAGTGGTGAACAATTCTAAAATATCTGCCTTCGAGTAATCGAAATTGGTGAGAGCTCTCAAGCCTTTTAGCAGCAGAGACATCAAGTCGTAAGCTCTGGCAGCCTCTTGCTCAGTCGAGTACGTCTGGATGTAGGTTTTCCATGATGAAATGTCAATGAGAGCCTGCCATTTGGAGGTGTTCTTGAACACTCCAACGAAGCGAGATCTTCTGTTGCTTGGCCTAACAGAAATGCTTGCAATCTTGGACTGCCCATACACCACAGTTATATCCTGATCGTCAATGGAATCGAGTTCTCGACAAAGATCTACTAGCTTTCGTCTGAGGTAGATAGTTCTCTGAGTGTTGGTGAGTCTGGCTGCCCTCCTTCGTCTGTTTCTTTCAGCTTTAGCAAAACTCGGCTTCATTTCTTCAATAATTTGTGAGGAGATAGAGCTATTTCTAATTGGCTGGTGCTCATGAGGAGAAATAACATTTTTGTCAACTCAAGAAGAATTAGGTCCCAGGTTACACATACAGTACTCGTTCATGGATGAAGCTATCTCCCAATCAGGAATTATTATAACATTTATTGGCTGAAATACATGCAGCTCAAGTCTATACTGAGGTTGAATATCTGCCTGGAAATACAGAGTGCAATTATTCTCCATTTTATTTATTTAATAATTAATTTACTATGAACATCTGGCTTTAAGTAGTTTCTCAGAGTTTAATTGCTTACAAAATATGAATATCCGACAAACGAAAGCTCTTGTTTTAGGCTGTTTCAAGTGGAGATGCAAAATATCACAAAATATTACTAAATCGCATTATATCTGCATCAAGCTTTATCCAAAGCCTAGAGTTTGCTTTATATCTATTCATATTTCTTGGACAGTTTGTCTACCTCCAGCATTACTATAAGCTTATAATCCAAGAGATCTAAACCTAAGCGGACCACTCCAAATTTTATAGATTGGAATCTTTTTCTGGTTTATTTCGTTGACTCGAATGTTAATTTGCCGAAATTGTTAGAAATTTTGCATCGCTGAACTATGTCATGAGGGGCTGCTGGAATTTTGGCCATATCTCACCAAGGCTAGAGATACTCTGATTGGAAATACGATTTGTACGCAAAGTTTTAAGTCTCTCCCGGCATTATTGACACTTCTGGCAACCACTTTTATACCGAAATGTAGTTCAGCGTACACAATACCTGGGTTTTAATCGGCCAAACTTAAACACGCATATTTGCATAGGGATTTTTATGTTGTTTCTGTGCTAGGTTTACCAGCTGAAAATTAAATTCTTGATCCTATTTTTTAACCAAGTTCAAACACTTCAGGAATTAAGAAAGCATAGCTTGAGCAAAAGTAAGGATTCCAGAAAGAAGCATTTATTCATCCTAAATAATGAACTGGAGGCCTTTAAAATCATTATGAGTTTGCTAAAGGAGTATATCTAACCTTCTTTGCTAGTTTTAGTTCCTGAAACAAAGGAGACTCCCAACGTTCATGAAATATTTTGAGACATATTACTTAACTTAAAATATTGTCAAACATTTAGGGTTAGAATTTAAATGCTTCCATAGATTTTGAATCTGAAGGCTAAGACACTTAAGTTCTTAATATTCTGACTCCTTATGAAAAGGCCAGTCAAAACTCGCAGCTGAATTAGAAATACTTGCTCCTTGCCATGGCTTCACCGAAATCGACGAATCAGGAATTATTAATTTACTACTTCATATAGTGAGATCTCTTATATTCAGAACTCAGGACTGTGAATTCAGGCTTTTATCAAGGAAATTTCATTATGAGATACTAGATACTATGAGGATTAGAAGCTTTTTAGATTTTTCTAATGGTTTACCCAGGCTTAACACATGCAAATGAAGAACTTATTCTTAATAAACTTTTTAACCCCCAAAATTTAATTTAAAAAGTTCACATACCAAGGAGGAGATTAATCAAGTGTAGGAAGAGCAAACAGATCTCTCTATTTAGTCAACCTCGCTTTTCTCAGACCGATGCATCAAGTTATGGTATGATTTCATAAAAAGTCAGTTAACTCAAATATTGTCGACAAATTACTAAATTTTTAATCATTCCTAATCAACTCTAAAATCCAAACAACTCATTTAGATTTTGAGCATCGGGCCTCGTCTCTTTCTATCAACTAAAATGTGTTAATTTTGTTTGAGTCGCAACGATGATCAGGAGATGGGCTATCTCAATAGCCATCAAATGATTATGTTTGATAAGCCATTAATGACTCCATATGGCATCAACCACTCTTCTTTGGCTCTCTAACGACAGACAAGTATTGTGGCTTTGCTAAGCCCAACTCTTTTTGTCAGACATTTTAGAGTGCAGCAAGGAATAAACATTTGCCATTTACCGAAGAAAAAGTTCATCTTTCGATAACCTAAATTATATGAGTTAAAAATTCAACTCTCATTGTTGCCTTGCTCATTGAACCAAGGTAATCAAAAAGCTTGGTATTCACTAGAACACACAGCAGATTTTTTAAAAGTTTAGAGGGCTTCAACTCACAAGTGCATGCTGATTTTGTAAAAGTACCCATCTGCACTAGCCTACAGATTTCTAGACTTTTTCATCTTTATTGAAGCCTAATTTCTGATGAATTGGCATTAAAGCTTTAGAGACAGTAACAACAAAAGAAGCCCGGTTATTATGTTCATAAGGCAAGTTATAGACTCTACAAAGATTTTCCGCTTTTTGCATGAAATGGTGTTTCGATTATAAATGATTATTTCATCTTTTAGCTCAAAGTTCTTAATTATAACGTCAATATAATGCCATAGAACTCGAGTCTCTCGTATCGAACTATTTCAATCAGTTTAGGGCTGATTTAATCTCTTTAGAGTCTTCAAGCCAGATACTTTGAACACCAGAGATTGGAATCTCCTGAATATTTCTGTAAAATGGTTGAACAAATTTACATGGCTTTAACCTTCGAAATGAATTAGCCGATGGAGAATCTAGACTTCCACAATTCGCAAATAAGCTAGCTTCTCAAGTCATCCAATAATTTTGAAGAGTCAGGTTGTCCTCAACTTTAAGAATATTATCAAGAGAATTATTTCAAGCTGCAGTAAAAAGTTCAGAAAGGTTTGGGCCAAAAGTACGTCAAAGTGCTATATTGTTGAATGACTTCTTCTCAGCCCCTAGTTCATTATTGGTGGTAGATCAGGCATACATTAAGCAGAGAGGCTTTATGTTTAAATTATGCTATTCAAATCACCAATGCTTACGATTTAAAGGAGGTTATAGTAACATTTAATGAGTCTAAAGCAGCCACAAATATTGAAATATCGATCATTTACAGTAAAAAGACAGCCAAACCTATTTATGATGCAAAATCGAAGGTTTTATATTTATGAATTTTGGGAGACCTCTAAGGCTATCATTCCCAAATCATTACAGAGTAAAGATGGTTCTAATTAGCACTTATTTTCTACAGCTTTTGAGCCGCTTTACTTGGTGCTATTATTTAAGATTCTGTTATACATTCTCCTACTTGTTCTGCTCAATTCTCAAGAGTCATAGAGTGCTAAAAGCAAGGCTAGAGCCCTTGTGCATCAATATCCATTTTGAGCATTAGCAATCTTATAATAGATTAAGGGGTTTTGGGGTTTTGGGGTTTTGGGGTTTTGGGG